GAGCACACTGAATTATGAAATTGTCAAAAAAGGTGTTATGTTTCAATCCTTTAATTGTTTTCTTCAAATACACCTGCCAATTTCTTATTTTTGTGACTTTGTTTTTGCCATATCAGTCTCTCTGCCTTTGGAAGTTCTAGAGGATGAACTTAGGGCCTTCTGATCACAAGGCAGGCATTCTACCCTTTGAGCCACCCCTTTTGTGTAATTTTCTTTAACAAATTATATTTTCATTATCTTTAAATAGTTGTACAAGAAGGTAACCATTTAACATGTCAGTTCATCAGTACAATGCACCATGCCCAATATATCTCCTTTAATCATTCTGACCATTTCCTCCCAATGTGTTGACTATTTTCAGGATGCAAGTCTGGCTTTATGCCTGGGCCAGTCTGGACTGTGATCTCCTCCTTCTAGTGCTCCTCCTCCTCTTCTTCCTAGTCTCCTCCTTTTTTATTTTTATTTCTGTTCATATTCCTCTTCTTCCACCTTTCTCCTCCTTCTGTTACTCAGTAGACTTTTATTTTCATCTCAGCACTCCAAGAAAATTCGGAACCAATTGTCTCATCCAAAAATATAATAATAATCTTGTGGTATTGTTGATGTTTACATATTACAGCTGAGGTGTAACCTTGAGAGATAGTGTAACAGTTGATTGACAAGTCAATGAAGATACTGGCCTCCATTGGCATAGGAAATTAAGGTTCAAGTTTTCAGAGGTAACCAATTTAAACAATCTTCTAAGAATCTTTTTTTTTCTTTTTTTTTGTCGGTTGTGGGGCTTGAACTCTGGGCCTGGGTGCTGTCCCTGAGCTCTTCAGCTCAAGGCTAGTGCTCTACCACTTGGGCCACAAAGCCACTTCCGGTTTTCTGAGTGGTATTGGCGATAAGAATTTCATGGGCTTTTCTGCTGGAGCTGGCTTTGAACTGTGATCATCAGATCTCAGCCTCCTGAATAGCTAGGAATAAAGGCGTGAACCACCAGGGCCCAGCTAACAATCTTTTTTTAAAACAACTTTATTTTTGGAGTAGTTTTCTGTTCAGAGAAAAATGGCAGAAAGTAAATAGTAAACATGTACCCACTAACATATGAACAACATCTTCCCATACTATTAATATCTTGTAACAAATATCTTGTATCAGAGATGAACATTTATCATGATTGGTGAGTTTACACTGATGTATTATTATGCATCCACAGACCATTATGTACATAAGGATTACCATTTGATGGGAAAACATTGTAGGAGTTTTAACTAATATGTAATGATATCTATCCTTCATTATAATATCAAAGAATATTTTTATTTCCATAAAGATCCATTTACTTCTAGTCAATCTTCTTGACTCTAGCTCTAACTACTCTCTTTCCTGCCTCCATAGTTTCTGCCTTTTCTGAATTTTTATAGAGTTGACTTTTCAGATTGACTTTTCTTGTTTAGTAATATGCATTTATATTCCTTCCTTGTCTCCTTGTAGTTAGATAGCTATTTTATTTTTTAGAGCTGAATGGAAATCCTCTGTTGGGATTTACCATAGTTCATTGACTCATGAACTCACTGAAGGATATCATGGTTGTTTTTCAGGTTTTGGTATTTATGAATATAGTTACTATAAATATCAGTGTGGTCTTTTTTATCCTAAGAAATTCATTCACTTTAAAGACCTTAACCTCTGTATTTCATTATAAAAACTTGAGTCTCAAAGTCTGGGCTACCTTATGTGTATCATTCTTTTTAAATTCTGTCAACTATATTTTAGTAAGAGTTGTCTAAGAGATAGAGATTTCTATAAATGCAGTTGATCTAAAAGGCCTTTCAGAAAATGATCTGTGAAGAACTAATATAAACAGATTGGTTTCAAGAAGATTGGTTTCAAGAAGTTCTATTGTGAGGTGATTGAAGCAGAATTGTCAGTCAACTAGAGGGGGAACTATAAAGTAGATGAAGCCTTTCAGAGAGTTTCCTTCCTTTAAGAAAAAGAACTCAGCTTTCTCTCTAGTTTGAACAATCTTTGGATACACCCTACCCTCAAGGAGAAGAATGTTGAACTTTGCTTAAAAAACCAAATTTGATGGAGGGCAATGTCCTAGCACTGTTATTTCTCAGCTGTAAAGACTTTCCGAAGTTTTTGGTTCTGAAGAGAGGAAAGTGGATGGTACTCTACAGCGTTCACTAGCCTAAAATTGCATGATTTTCAGCCATGATTTTTCTAGTGTGTTTTTTTCAAGGATTTTCTCTTATTTTTTTACTGTAAAGAAAGCAATACTTTCTTGGCCATGTCACTGAATTCATTAACTTACATTTTATCTGTTTTGCATATTGCTTTGAATCCTGGTTATATTTTTCTTCTAGAAGACATTTCCCCAAGTATCCTTCATTTATTTTAGACTAATTGCTTCTTAAACCTCCTATTTCCTCTTTTCATAGCCTTGTGATTCCCTGTGTATTCCTTTTCTCTTGTGTAACTTCAGGTTTAAAACAACACTCACTTAGTTTTATGCCAAATTTCTAAAGGTCAGAAGTCTAAATACAGTGTAGTTCAACTGAATTTTCTTAGGGTCCTACAAGTACTACTAACCAGTTTCACTCTTTCATTAAATGTAGGTCTCCATGTCCTTCTGGCTAGAGTTGCTGGCTAGAATCCATCTTAACTTCTACGTCCATATTGGGATTTATGACCTGATTATTTTCATTTTCGAGGCAAATAATGGTAAATTGAATTATTATCATACTGCAAACCTCTCCCAACTCTCCTGCTTTATTAGTCCTGTCTCTACATGGAAAAAAGCCTGTGTTTTTGAGGGCTCATGTCTCAGAAGGGGTGCACCAAAACAATTACCCAGTTATAAGGTTAGTAACTTTACACTTGCAAAACTTCTTTTTTTTTTTTTGTGGGTCATGGGGCTTAAACTCTGGGGTTGGGTGCTATTCTTTCACTCTTCAGCTCAATACCAGCACTCTTACCGCTTGAGCCACAGCGCCACTTCTGGCTTTCTAGTGGTTTATTGGAGATAAGAGTCTCACGGACTTTCCTGCCCCAGCTTGCTTTGAACCGGGATCCTCAGATCTCAGTCTCTTGAGTCGCTAGGATTACAGGCATGAGCCACCACGGCGCCCGGTGCAAAACTCCTTTTGCCATGCAATGTAACATACAAGTTTTAGGTATCAGGGTAGGAGCATCTTGGGCCATTCTGTTTGCCACATTCTTGTATTGTGTATAACTTGCTGTGTTTTTTTTTTGGTTGGTTATGGGGCCTGAACTCTGGGCCTGGGCGCTATCCCTCAGCTCTTCAGCTCAAGGATAGCACTCTACCACTTGGGCCACAACTCCACTTCCACGTTTTTTTCTGTTTATGTGGTGCTGAGGAATCGAACCCAGGGCCTCATGCATGCAAGGCAAGTGCTCTACCACTGAGCCACCTTCCCAGCCCCTACCGTGTATTTTCTAGAGTACATGTTAATTAAACTTTCTGAAGTCTTTATTATGCTCCCATATGTAATTCTAGGCCACTTTCTTTAATTTTATTTTATTGTTGTATTGTCGTATTCTTTTATTGTTGATTTGGCTAGAAGCTTCTATCATTTATTGTGTTTAGCCCTGTATTCCTTCTATATCTGAGGTCTTTTGTTAATCTTCAAGTCTTTAAAATTTCTTAGTTATTTCTTTGACATTTTCCACCTATTAGTTGCTTTTCTGGAATTTTCATTAGTCATATGACAGATAAATCCTCAATGTCAAAATTGTCCATGTGTTGTTTGAGTACTGTATGCTCTGGGATGTTTTGTCTACTAAGTTACCATATAATTCTATTAGATTTTTAATCTTCTGCATGTATATATGTTTATTTCCAACCTTTTCTTGTTCTCTTTTCTTTTTTTTCCTGAGTATTCTGTTCTCTGATACAGTATTTTCCTATTACGTCTTAGGAAGTTCATCATCATCATTATTATCACAGTGAATTTCTTTTGGTTACTAGCTGACTTGAAGTCCTGAGATAATAATTTGTTTCCCTTAGTTTTATGTTTCATGCTGCTGATTAAAAAAGAATAACTGATGCTTTTAATTCTTAGTTTAGTTTTAAGAGTGCAATTCTAGACACAGGTGAAGAGAAAGTTTTAGGGAGGGAAATCTGGAGGAAGCAAAGTGCTGGCTTTGTATTTTTCCGACTTCTCTTCCCACCCTTTATGTGGAATCTCCCTGAGGTTCTGTCAGGTAGATTGACTCTTTCCGAAGTGTTGGTAGGATTGTCAGCAGCTTTCTGAATTTTAGTTTTTGCAGGCAGTTTGTAAAATATTAAGTCTGAGGACGGACTCTGAAGATTATTTAGATATCAGAAATTAATTTCATAGTTGTTGTATGAATGTTTACCAAAATACAACACTTTCAGGCATAATGCATTTTATTATTATTTTGTTTTTATTTGACTACTGTCGAATGGAAGATACAATCCTGCTCTAATTCAGCTAAGTAGGAGAGATGAAGAACACGAGTATTCATTATCAATTAATTACTAAAATAAAGTGAGCTTGAGGAACCTCGATGTGTTGTGAAATAGCAACGGAGAAGAGACAGAACGAGCGACTCCATTCCCGAATCAGAGTGGAGGTAGACAGATCTCACTGTGCATTTTCAGTACATGTGCCCGGTAAAGTTTTTGATCAGGCCGGAGCCAAGTTAGGAAGATTTCTCTGCACCCGCCGCTCCCCGCCAGGGAAGACAGCCTGCGGGATGACCAGCCTGCGGGACTATTTCTCCTCCTCTATCCCGGAGAGACCGCCTCAAAGCCCCTACTCAGAAGCGCACCCGCAAAAGATCCAGGGGGTGGCGGAGAGCACATCTGGCCAATCTGATGGGCGGAGGGGTGGGGGGGGGGGGAGAGGACCAATAGACTTTCTTTGATTGACGTACCATATGGCCAATGGGAATAGAGGATCGCAAAACTTCCGTTCTAACGAGCAGCGCATTGGCGCTTTTCGACCAATCCGGTTGAGGAGTTCCTGGTGCTCAGGGCGGTCGGGCGAGCTAGGAGTCCGTTGAACGGCGAGTGGAAGGGGCGCGGCGCCGTCTAGGGGTTAAAGTCGTTCTTGAGAGGAAGGTCTCCGTCCGGAGAGAAAATGAGTTTAGCTCTGAGGTCGGTACTGAGGCACCCCGGAGCGGAATGCTGTGGACACCGCGGAGTGGGGCCCCGGATGGGTGGAGGTGGGAGGCCGCCTGCGGCCCGCGCCAGCCGGAGGATGCCGTGACGGACGCGGGACGGGGACCCCGGGCCACCCCGTCCGCAGCCCTCCGCCTGGGCCCCAGGCCCGAGGCCCTTCCCGCCGTGGCCCTCGGAGGCCGCGGGTTCCACGGCGAGCCGGGAGGGAGTGCACTATCGCGAGGTCTCGGTGTATCCCGAGCACCGGGCCCTGGCTCCCGGGGTTCCCGCCCGCGCAGCCGGGGCGGCCGCCGCTTCCCCTCGCCGGGAAAGGCCGTGCCCCGCCGCCGCAGGCCTCCGCTTCGATGCTGTTCCGACCTCCGGTCCCCTCCCTCCGCGTAGACGTGACACTTGACCCGGCCGTAGCCAGGCCACCCTCGGAGGGGAAGGCGTTGTGCCGGGGCCTGGGCCGGGCCCCGCTGCGTGCCGCACTCGGCCCCGCGCAAGAGGCCGGGGGAGGCCGCGCGAGCGCCGGAGCCCGGGGCGGACCAGGGCCGCCGTCACCCCGCCGCCCCACGCCAGCCTGCCAGTCAGGCCCTGTCTAGACAGGCCCGGGCTCCTGGGGAGGGGGGTGGTTGCGTCCGAGAGCCAACCACCTTGAAACGCCCCCGACCACACCCTCCGACACCGGCCTTGGTCTTCAGAATGACACTCGCCAGTTTCCTAAGCATCTTACCCCCTTTGAAACCGGTGTTGGCACACGCGTGTGGCACCCTCTTTAAAAGAAAGTGAGAGCGCTTCAAGGTCGCCAGCTTTGCAGGAAGATGTTTCTGGCTTGAAGATTAAAGCCCTTCTTCCCCACCCCACTCCCTTCCCCACCCCTACCTCTCATCCCCCCACCCCCACTCCCACCTCTCCTGCCCCACCCCCACCCCTTCCCCACCCCCACCCCCCCTGCCCTTTTATTTGTGTTAAGCTTTTCCGGAGATGTTTTGTTTTTAGACAAAAAATTTGAGCCTCTCATTTACATGCTAAGTGAAGAGTGCAAGACTTTTCACGTCTCCTGGAACTAAGGCCAGAGTACTCCGTCCTATTTTTGGAGTCTAGCATTTGTAATGTATCTAGAGGCATTAATATTTTGGTTGGTTTGGTATAGTCCGAGAAGTTACAAGGACGGTACTAAATTAGTAGAAGCCATGTTAAATAAAACCTGGATTTACAGAGCCAGAATAATTTGTGTTAATTGATACAGTTTATGGTTCTTTTTTTTTTTTTCTGTAGTGATTTTGAGAACCCAGTTTTACAGATAATCAAGAAAAAAAAGTATAGAATGATCAACGATGAGTTTTGTTTTCATTTTTGCTTTTTTTATGCTTTTGTAGAACGATGTTAGTATAGATACTTGCTTTGGTTAGGATTTCAGACCTGTGTTAAGACTTTTCACTATTCTTATTTCTTCGCAGTAATATTTGTGGGAAAAATACAAAGGACAGGAGAGGGAAACTTGGTATATTCATTCTCTCTTTCTCTTTCTTACTGGGACTGGGACTTGAACTCAGGGTCAGAGGTCAGAGCACTCTCCCTTAACTTTTCACTCAAGGCTGGCACTCTGCCATTTGAATCAGTTTCACTTTTGGCTTTTTGCTGGTTAATTGGAGATAAGGGTCCCACAGACTTTTTCTACATGGGATGGCTTCTATATGGAGTGGCTTCTGACCCTGGCCCTCAGATCTCAGCTTCCTGATTGGCTATGAGTAGCTAGGATTACCACCAGTGTCTGGCTTCTTTTCCTTTAGTTACAATGTGTAGTAGCACTGTTCAGTCTTGGGAAATGCAAGTAAATAGTAGTTTAGATTAGAAAATAAGCAGGGTATTGACTCACCAGAATCCTTTTTAAAAAAATTTTGAAACTTATTCTTTAACCAATTTGCATAAAACACTGTATTTAAGGGGGCTAAAGACTGTTTTTCTGTTTCATAGAAGTGAGCTGGTAGTAGATAAAACAAAGAGGAAAAAAAGAAGAGAACTCTCTGAAGAACAGAAACAAGAAATTAAAGATGCTTTTGAGCTATTTGATACAGACAAAGATGAAGCAATAGATTATCATGAATTAAAGGTAATAGTGTACTTTGAGGTTTAATTCCCTATTAAGTTAATTTACAGTTGTGGCATTTGCTTTAAAATATATTTGGAAATAATTATTTTAAATGAACTGGCATTAAAATTATGAAGCAATTTTAAACAATTACAGTTAGGTGCTGTAAGAAAAGTAAATAGAACTAACAGATTTTAGGGAATTTTTTGTCATTTGGTAAAATAAATGATACTGTGTATTTTTCACTCATATAATTGAAGGACTGCGTTTGGTTAGTACCATATTCTTCTGACTTCTGGTTTGTGTGTGTGTGTGCGTGTGTGCGTGTGTGCGCCTGCGTGTGTGTGTTCCTGCACGCACGTGTGCAAGGATAGCTTAATTTTACGATTGAGGGAATGTTCAGTGTCTTGTAAGCTTTAAATTTTCAGTCCACTTTCAGTCTCAACTTACTTTCTCTGATACAAACAGTATATAACTTGTCTGATACCTAATATTACATACCTAACGGAGGAAAATGACACCGTTAAGGCTTGGAGTTATTTATAAAGATGCAAGGGAAGTTGATATTAGTTTTATATTTAGCGTAGTCGCAAAGATAACTTTTTGAGATTTTTACTGTCTTTAATGGAAAATCTGAATGTTTATTTCGTAGTTAACTTTGGCAACTTCTAAGGGATTTTGGTACACAAGAATTCCAAATAGGGTTAGGAACTAGGCAAAGAAAGGATAGAATGTGTAGAATGTCTAGTAATAAACTGCTCAATCTTTATTGTCTCTCCAGATTGTTTTTCCTGTTGTTTTTTCTTTTAGCTATCCTGATTTGACCTTTAAAATATTTCTTCGATTTGTTGTGATTACTAGCTTGGTTTGGAACTTTTTTCATTGCTGAAACTTTCTAACTTGTTTTTTTATTTGTAGTTCACCTTGTATATCACCATTGGATTTAGATCTTTCTTAAACTATTCTAATAGTTTGCTGCATTTAGACCTTTACCGACTCACTATATACCACACACTACATGAACTTCAGATTCCTTTGCTTTCTTTCTATTAAATGCCCGCTGCGGTTTTATTCCCATCTAGTTTTGTCACTTGCTAGGTGCTGCCTTTCACCTGAGCTCTTCCCATTCATAGAAGGTAAACAGCTCTGTTCATTGTTTCTCAGATCTATTTTTCCAACATCAATTTCAGTGTCTGTTTTAATACCAATCATCCTTTCTGAATGCCTTCTACTTCTCTTCATTTATTCATTAAGGAACAACTCTCAAATAAGACTTCATTAATTAGTAATAAAACTCTTTTCTTATTTGTTTAAACTTAGGTCTTGGACTGTTTACTTGGTAGCTAATTGCACGGGGTCTTTATTATTTATTTATCTACTTACTTACTGATAAGAGTCTTACTTCATAGCCAAGGATGGTCTTAAACTTGGAATTCTCCTGCCTTAACCACCTGAATGCTTTGATTACAGGTGTGTGCTACCAGGCTGAGCCAATAATTCGTGTTTTAATGTATAATTTTTGTTTAATGTATACGTTCTTGTTCTTGTATAGCCTTAATATTTATGTAATATATAGTTTACATTTTAATTTTATTTCTTTGAGAGTAAATAGATTTTTAAAATTGTCCAAGTCAATGCATAGTAGGGTGTATTCTCTAAACACTGTTCACTAGTCAGAAAAAATAAAATCTTAATGAAAACGTCTTATTTCTGTAATGGAGATTAACTGTACTCTTTGTTATTTTAGATATATAAAGCCTACAAAAGAATTGTATTTCCTCAAGGCATTTTTATCTCTTTAAGAGATAAAAAGATTAGTAATCATTTCTTTTGTAAGAAGTGCTTCATAATTTGCTTTTCTCTTTTACTCCAAAAGGTGGCAATGAGAGCTTTGGGGTTTGATGTAAAAAAAGCGGATGTGCTGAAAATTCTTAAGGATTACGACAGAGAAGCCACAGGGAAAATCACCTTTGAAGATTTTAATGAAGTTGGTGTGTATTTTAATGATTTTTGTAATCAGGAGTTGTTGGGAAATTGTCCAGTTAATATATATTTTTTAATTAAAGTAGAGAATTTTGTTATTAAATGTTTTGGTGTACAATACGGTTCACATTTTTTTTTGAACAGAGGGTACTTTTCTTCTTTCAAAGGAAAAATGTTTGTAGTTGTAAGAGTTGTAGTTTTTCGTCTAAGAATAATAATGTTTCTTCCAAGCAGAAACTATAATGCAGCTTTTTATGTAAAGATTTTTTTCCAATTAATAAGTGTTTATATATTATGTTTTAAAAAGTTAATCAACAAATAATTTTCTCTGAGTAAGATAAAAAATATAGTGTTCTGCTACTTAGGAAATATTTTCCAAGACCTTTCTACAAATAATTTTTTTTGGTGGGGGGTATAGTGGGAGAAGAGGAAATTGATTGCATTTGGTATAGATGAGAAACTTTCCTTCATAATGATAGAGTTGATGAGAGGGCTGTATGTGCTGGATAACTTTGAACTATTTAAAAGAGTAATAAAAGAAACAGAAAATGCTTTAGAACTACCAAGGGAAAATAATGTGTCATGAGTTTAATATACTTAAATTGTATATAATTGATTTTAGTGAATTATTGATTAGTCATAGATAAATCTTTTTTTTATAGTCTAGATTAGGCTTTTCAGTATAGAAGATTCTGGAAAGCTAGGACTTGGCTACTATAAACTGAATATATTGACTAAAATATCATATGTGAAATGTGTAAACATTCAGATTTATTTCTATTAAGTTATTTTTCCCAAAAAATGATAATCACTTAAGCACATCATATATTTTCTTTTTTTTTTTTTTTTGCCGGTCATGGGGCCTGAACTCTGGGCCTGGGCGCTGTCCCTCAGTTCTTCAGCTCAAGGCTAGCGCTCTACCACTGGAGCCACAGCACCACTTCCGGCTTTTTCTGTTTATGTGGTGCTGAGGAATCGAACCCAGGGCCTCATGCTTGCAAGGCATGCAATCTACTGCTGAGCTACCTTCCTAGTCCCATATAGTTATTTTCAAAAAATTGAAAGCATATGCAATTTTATATGCACGTATAAACTTATTTTAAATATTCATTAAGAAGCAATATGAGAAACAAAAAGAAATGGTAATTAGTAGAGAGAGAAAATAGATTCACATTGTTAGACTGTTTTTTTTCCAATTTGAAAGCTCATAACAAAGAGGGGAGACAGAAGTAAATGGCAAATTTAAGTGAAAGAAACCACAGCACAGATTCTCCAACTTGTAAACTAATATGTGACTATTTAGAGAAGCATCTGTCCCTTTTAGAAGTGTATTGTTTTATTCCTTATGATTTGCAGATTTATTTTCCTGAAAAGGAAAGAGCCACCTTTCTTCTCTCAGTACAGATAGATGTTTTTATAAGGCTTATGCTTATAATATTCCACGTGTGAATTTAGATTATTTGTAGGAACAAGGTGTTAGGCTATAGTGGAATGATAATACTAGGAAAGAGCTATTTAATTCAGGCACATTAGCTACTGTGTAGTCGTTTACACTGGCCTACTTGAGAATTCAGATCTGGGTTTTACCACTTACTAGCTATACAGTTTAATCATTTTATGTACCTATGTCTTAAGTTCAACTATCAAATTGGGATAATTGTAAATATGTCTCAAAAGGTTCTTGTAAGGGTTAAATAATTTAATAATACATGAAGTACTTATAAAAGGACCTTCCATATAGTAAATGCTACTAAGTGTAATCTATGACAACTTTTTTTAAAAATAGTATTTGTGTCAGAGGCTGCGTACTGGACAAAAAAAAAAACTGAGATTTTTCTGTCTTTTTTTTTTTAGTAGCAGTCTAGGTATTATCATCATTGTTTTTGTCAATTTTTTTTTGTCAATGAATTCAGTTTTTGTTTTTGTTTTGTCAGTCCATGGGGCTTGAACTCTGGGCTTGGATGCTATCCCTCAGCTCTTCAGCTCAAGGCGAGCGCTCTATCACTTGAGCCACAGCGCCACTTCTGGTTTTCCAGTGGTTTATTGGAGATAATAGTCTCATGGGCTTTCCTGCCCGGGCTGGCTTTGAACTGTGAGCCTCAGATCTCAGCCTCCTGAGAGTAGCTAGGATGACAGGCATGAGCCACCAGTGCTGGGCTCCATGAGACCTTTTTCTTTTGCCAGTCCTGGGGCTTGAACTCAGGGCCTGAGCACTGTCCTTGAGCTTCTTTTGCTCAGGGCTAGCACTCTACTACTTGAGCCACAGTGCCTCTTCCGGCTTTTTCTGTTTTCTGTGGTACTGAGGAATTGAATCCAGGGCTTCATGCATGCTAGAAAAGCACTCAACCACTAAACCACATTCTCAGCCCCTGAATTCAGTTTCAAAAGAGGTTTTATTAGCAGTCAGGAACAGAGGCCCATGCTACTTTCACCTTTTCCTGAAATCCTATCTTTTCTAAGATAACAGAGCAGAAATACTTATTCCTTCTAGCATACATAGCTATGGCAAACACCAACTTTGGCTCTTGAACGGTGAACCTCTGACATGTCTAACATATACTTTAGCTACATAAAACTACCTATTGAGAATACCAGCTACTAAGTAAAAATTCCTTACATTTGAGAATCAATCAAAAATGATGTATCAAACCTTCATATTTTGATTAATAATGAGACATAGATTAATATTTTATACTTTGTGATGAGTGCCTCAAAACCAGAACATGTGAATCTTGGCTTTATGTATTGTCTACTACTGCTTAAGTATACTGCCTCACAGATACCTATGAATGAAGTTAACATTTAATATCGCCCCCCCTCCCCCAGCTTTAGGAAGAAGCATTAAATATTTAATGCAAGTTTAGATTCAAGGAGGCCTGAGCTGAGCTGATGAGTATCATTGGTATTTCAAGAATCGCTTTCTTGAGGGAGGAGAGCATGGTATTAGGGTTTGTACTTAGGGTCTCACACTTGCTAGGCTGGCACTTTACTACTTGAGCCATACCTCCAGCTCTGCTTTTTGCTGGTTCTTTTAGAAATGGAGTCTAAGGTACTTTTTTGCCTGAGTTGGCCTTGAACTGTGATCCTTCAGGTGTTAATCCCCTGAATATTTAGGATTACAGGCATGAGTCAACCCATGTCTGCTAGGATTTTTTTTTAGAAGTAGGAACAGTGTAAATCAGATACTTGTGTTTCTTCTATTTCTGTCACATACTATGTTGTTCTTTTAATTGCCTATTTACAAGATTATATTTTTATTTTGCATATTTAATACTGGATTTTTGGCATTCGGTTACTGGTGTGAGGAAGGGGAATTAATTAAAAGTTACCAAGCAATTTTTCTTTTAAGTATAAGTGATAACAAGCCATGGTTCATGTGGTAAAGTGTGTTTTTTGTCTAGGGAAGCTACAACTCTTGGGCCACTACTGCACTCTTAATGCTACCATACCCATTCTTCATGCTACCATAGTAGACTTCATGGTTTAAACAGAGACCTTAGGACCTCCCTGCCAAGCCTCTAAAATATTTACTGTCTGGCCATTTACTGGAAAGATTTACTATCAGCTCTTCATCCAGACAAATTTAAGCAGACTTCACTGTGGAGATTTTAAATTTAGGCCCTTTGGAATGTGAATACAATTTCCAAGAAGGCTGCAGGAGGAGTAGAAAAATACTTCAAGAAGCAAAGAAGATAGCAAAACTAGGAGTGGTATTAGAAGTCTAGCACATTTTGAAACTTCAGATGGTTTCCTTGGTTAGAGGATAGGGAAATAACTGAGAAAGAAGAAGTGGGTCCTATTGGCCAACTGTCAAATATTGGAGAGAATTTAGACTTTAGTCAGCAAAGATTATCTAACAATTTTTAAGTTATGGGATATGATGTGAAGATTGAGGATGAGTTAGCGGGACGAAAGATTACAAACCACATTCTAGACTTTAGTCCTGAAATGGTATAGTTTTTTCTTCTAACAATGAGAGCGACATAATCTGTTCACTGATGAAGTTTATGGGAAGGAAACGATTTTGGCTTTTCAAATTGAGTTAACTATCTATTACTGATGCTCTTGTCCTTGAAGGTTACAGATCAGGGAGGAGCAAAGACCTGCATGGTGGTCATGGAAGGAGTTTGGAGCCCAGTGTGCTGGGTTTAAAGCAAGTGTTTGTGTTTGGATAGAAATTTCTAGTGGCAGTGAGAAGTAGACTTGCTATTCTAGCACTAAATCATTTTTTATTTACTTTAATGTGATGTGTTTGAATGTTGTATTCTTAAGTGAGTTTTTATATGCATAAGACCTAATTATTTTGATGAAGTATGCTTCTGATAGTTGTAGTTAAATCATGTGTCTTTATAATTGGTTTGATTTAGAGTGCTTTACTTCAGTATTGGGGCTGGGAAGGTGGCTTACCTTGCCTTGCATGCATGAAGCCCTGGATTCGACTCCTCAGCACCACATAAGCAGAAAAAGCCGGAAATGGCTCTATGGCTCAAGTGGTAGAGCGCTAAGCGCCTTGAGCTAAAGAGATCAGGAATAGCACCCAGGCCCAGAGTTCAGGCCCCATGACCGACAAACAACAACAAAACTTCAGTATTATTAAAAAAAAGCAAAACAAATACCCCATGAGATAATAACAGTTACATAGAAGTCTGAAGGTTTTTGCTTTTTTTTTGTCAGTTGTGGGGCTTGAACTCTGGGCTTGAGCTCTGTCCCTCAGCTCTTCAGCTCAAGGCAAGCACTCTACCACTTGAGCTACAGCGCCACTTCCAGTTTTCTGGCGCTTTATTGGAGATAAGAGTTTCACAGACTTTTCTGCCCGGGCTGGCTTTGAACCGAGATCCTCAGATCTCAGCCTCCTGAGTAACTAGGATTACAGGCGTGAACCACTGGCGCCCGGCTAAGAAGTCTGAAGTTTTGTGAAATAGAGGAAACCTATACGAAATATGTATCAATAGATTTCATGAAAAGATACTTCTTGTGATTAAAGTTTACTTATAAAACAGAAGTAGAAGAAGACGACATGGAGAAGAGGCTCTGAATAATTATATATGCTAGATAATACTTTAGGTATCTGCAACTACAGACATTTGTAATTTCAAGAAATAGCTTTATTCTAAAGGAAAGCATTGATAAAAGGATATATAGATTACAAATAAATCTGAGCTAACACAAAGTACCAGAGGGATAAGAATTTATACATCTTGGAGTCCCATCTGTTCCCCATATCACCCTGTTGCTTCCTTAAGTACATTAATACATTCAGCAAGCTGCTTTTTTGGTTCACCTGTCATGCAAATTATTTAATTGGTAAGGAGAATTTCTTAACACTTTTTTCCTTGTCCTGCTTTTTTGTTGGGACTAAATTCAAAATAAGTTTGAGTATGAGCCATAGAGTTAAGTGTGGTATTTTATTTTGGTGTAATGGCTGTATATATGCCAAATCTTTTTTGACTGAATATTTATGAGCTTTGATTTGCATACTGATAGTAATATACTTCAATTAGTTACTTGGAAGCCTTTTTTTGGATAAAATTAGTGATTAAAAGTTACATATTGAATATGTAGGTGATACGTTAGCTTTACCAGGTGCTTGCTCAACCAAATGCAGATGAAACAACAGCAAACAGCAATACCTTGTTGGGGATTTTGATTTATTGATTCATTTTTTAAGTTTACATTCACTAAGCATACCAGCACTTTATATTTTCAAACTGTTGCAGTTTTGTGATGATTCTGTGACCTCACGAGGACTACTTTTAATGTTTCACTGGTAATCTTAAAATACCTTTTCTTTTCTTGTAGAGTAGCATGTATAATTACTTCAGACATACCCACATTTTGAGAATTTTACCTAGTATTTTAAAAAATTTACATATTTTTCCTTCAGTTTTTTTGTTATTGTACTTACCAATTAAAGGCTAGTATGGAAAATATTTAGGCTAGCTACATTACTATGATTTTATATGTGATTTTGTTTAGTATATTAAATACATATTTCTTTTGTTGAGGCCTAAAATTACTCACATTATCCTTCCGAGCAAAGTGTCAATGACTTTAGAGGGTGCTTTTCCAAGATTTTATTTTCCTGTTTTCCTGTGATCAGTTTGAATCCTTTAAATCTACTTTCCACATTTTAGACACCAAGAAGTTCTTCTAATCATGTTAGAGGAATTTTCATCTATTGATTCAGAGTGTGCCTTATCAATGATGGAAGTGCTTTTTGTTAATTTCTCAAATTCTGTTTGTTTTTAAGGATTCAATTAGAGGAAGCATGAGTATATTAAGTTTAGCTCACAGCTTTTATTGATTTAGCTTGTTTGGAGATATGACTTTTTAGTCTCATTTAGGTGTGGTGTCACTGGAGCCTAGTACAATTTTTAATAAAAGTTGAGGGACTGGGAAGGTGGCTTAGTGGTAGAGTGCTTGCTTTGCATGTGTGTGGCCCTGGGTTCGATTCCTCAGTACCACATAAGCAGAAAAAGTCAGAAGTGGTGCGATGGCTCAACTGGTAGAGCGTTAGCCTTGAGCCAAAGAGCTGAGGGACAGCGCCCAGGCCAAGAGTTTCAGGCCCCATGACCAGCAAAAAAAATAAAAAATAAAAAAAAATAAAAGTTGACCTGAAGTAAATATGGCTCACATGAGTTCTTTTCTCTGAGTGATACAGTTTTGCTTACTGTTACAAGTTATTTGCTCTAAATATCTTAAATTTAAAATATGGATTTTCTTTTTATAATTTCAGGTTTGTTTCTTTGGGTTTTAGATAGTAATATTAGAATAAATGTTTGACAGATTTATAGCTTTTCTCATTTAATAGTTAGTTAACTCTACAAATGAATGCCTTTGTGATTATGTAGGTTTGGTTAAATTTTTATTTTTAACTCCAGTGACAGACTGGATATTGGAAAGAGATCCACATGAAGAAATACTTAAGGCATTTAAACTATTTGATGATGATGATTCAGGTAAAATAAGCTTGAGGAATTTGCGACGTGTTGCTAGAGAACTGGGTGAAAATATGAGTGATGAAGAACTTCGGGCTATGATAGAAGAATTTGATAAAGATGGTGATGGAGAAAGTAAGTTTTACATAACCTATTTTTTGAATATTTCTGGTGTGACACATATACTAGATTCCTACCTTGTGATAGTCAAGACACTTTGTTAACTATCCTTCCCTCTTTTCTTTATAGACAGAGCTTATGTTGCCCAAGGTGGTCTTGAACTCAGGCTCAAGAGATCACCTTACTTCAGCCTCCTGAGTAGTTGGGACTATGGGTGTGCCATAGCTAGAAACTAACACTTTTTATTCATTATATCATTCAGTCTGTAGTAGGATTTTTGTTGAAATACCTTACAAATTCAATGTAGAATGAATCAGAATTTTAAAATTATTATAGGTTATAATACGAAGTACTATACTTTGAAAAGGTACTTCTCTCTGAAAATGAAGTATTAGCAGAACTTCAATAAAATTTCAGACTTTGTCACTCAACTAATATACACTTATAAACTATTACTAAGTTACAATAATGTTACGCTTCAGATCTTTTTACTATTTTTCCTATGTGGATAGTTCAGACCCTGCTTTCTTAGAAATGTTCTTTTTTGTTGTTGGTCATGGAGCCTGAACTTGGGGCCTGAACTCAGGGTTGTGTGCTGTTTCTGAGCTCTTTTGCTTAAGGCTAGCTCTCTACCACTTTGAGCCACAGCTCCACTTTTTTTTTCTTTTTTTAATTGTGAAAATATTGTACAGAGGGGTTACAATTACATGAGCAGGATGAGTACATTTCTTATCAAGCATTGTTGCCTCCTCCTTTGTTTCCTCTTCCCATCCCTTCCCAACCTCCCCTACCCCCCCAAAGTTGTATAGTTCATTTTTCAACATAATGACTTGTACATCACATTGTTGCAATGAGGTCCACCTGTATCCCTATTTAAACGATTTGTTTTTTCCCTTCCCCTCCACAAATTATACCAACATCAAATACAGTGAAAGCAGGGGTTATACCGTGGGGGAGGGACAGGGAGGGACATACAAAGCAACAAAGAAATCATCTTATAAATATCTTAGAAAAATAGCAAGAAAGAAAAACCATTTGAGTCCTTATCTTGGGGTTTATTTCACCTAACATCAACTTATCTGACCTTTTCTGCTTGTCTTAGACATATACTAGTTATTGCAACAGCCACTTTCTGTTTCCATTAATTAGAGATAAAAGTCTCCCAGACTAGAGATAAAAGTCTCCCAGACTTTCCTGATGCTCTGGCTTTGAATGGTGCCCTCAGATCTCTGCCTCCCGAGTAGCTAGGAATATGGGTAGGATACCAGTACCTGTCTTAGTTATATTCTTATAGCTTTATTTATGCTTTCCTTGATTGTCCAGCAGGTGGCAGTATTCTGTATGCTGACATGTTACATAATGGTGCTGGGTTTTTTTTATAGCCTCTAGTTAACCTGAGTCTATAAAACCTCTAATTCTGTAATATCTTACTCTTCTTTAGTTTGTTGATTGATTTCTTTTCCTAAAATGGAGGTTTGATTATGCTATTTCTGTGTTCATATTAAATGAATCTTTACTGTTTATAAATGTAAAGTCTTCTAATATCTGTCCCACTTCAAGTAACTAGTTTTATTTCCCACTGTCTTCTGCTTTATGGTTTCAGCCCTCATCTTCCATATGTGCACAGTTTGACAGAGTACTCTGATCCTGAAAACACTTTTTATGCCATATTTGCTTATGCTGTTCCTCAGTTTTAAGAGTGCTCTAATTGCCAATATCTGTCTACTAAAATGTTAGTCATTTTTCCAAGCACATTTTAAAGACCATCTTTTTCCCAAACCTTCCTCTTAATGGTATCTGTGTTTTTTATGAAGCTTTTATTGAGTGATCATAGCATTTAGAGAACAGACTGCTTTGTACTTGCATATACTTAATATAAATTTTTTTGGTTGCAAATCAAGTTTTGTTTAGTGATACAAACTACATTCTTTGTATTTTAACAGCTAATGATCATAATATTTTCTCACTCTTGTGGACTTTTGTAGTTCATCTGTCTTTGAATGTTTCATGCTGCTCAGTTTTTAAAAGCAGTAAAACTGTAAATTACAATAAAAAGTAATAAACATAGATGTGGAGTTAAAGGTAAATAAAGTATACTTCAAAGTAAACATAAAACTGTAGTAGTGATATAGAATAACACTCGATTCCTCAGAATACATAAAATGAAACGTTACAAATATTTGGAAATTGAATTTGTGTGTGTATTGTTTTATAAAAATTATATTAGAGAAAATTATCCACTATTGTAGCATACTGTCTGAAACACACTTTACAAATTACAATTTCTTACTGAATTTAATTATTTTGGTAAAGTAATCAGTGATTATATACTGAATTTACATCTGTTTTTTATGGTTTCAACAGTACTTAGGATAAAATTTGTATTTTCAAGTTGCCATTTTTTAAGATAAAATTTGTATTTTCAAGTTGCCATTTTTATTAATATTTTTAGTTGCAGTCATGTGGTTTTGATTATTTTTTCTTTGAAATTATTTTAAATATACAAAAGTTTAAAAACAACTATTTGAACTTTAAAGTTTTTTTAATGTATTTTTATTCTTCAGAATACCCATAATTTACATGCCTTGTATTTTCAGCCTTACTTAGAGAGGAAGCATTTGCCAAACTAGTTAAGGAGGAGTAATAAGGAGGTATTGAACCGTAAGAAATGTAAAATGTCATGTTTATTAAAACTGTCTTAATAAGTTTGTACAAATGTTATGACTGATTGCTTTATAGTAACATAGTATCATCTCTTTTCTCAGTTAATATTGTAGAACATGAATTTTATAACTTTATTACATTTTATGTTTTTGTTATTCATGAAATTCTGTTTAATAAACCTGTTTAACTTCTGAGCAAAGTAGGCCTTATTATGAAATTTACATAATATAAAATTTAAAAGTACTGTAAATGGTAACTTTAGTCTTAAAAATAGGGTATTTTTTGACTAAAATGCATCTATATTTCTGACTAACATTTTCTTTCTTACTGCAGTTAATCAAGAGGAGTTCATTGCTATTATGACTGGTGACATTTAAGATTACAAGGATAAACACTAAGAATGTTGCAGTCACCATCTTATATTCTAATTTTGGGCATGGAGCCACCATGAAAAAGACCCAAAATATCTTCATTCTTTTTTCCAGAAGGACCAAAACTAAACATTTCTGTGTTTGTATTTTACTACTGTTGAGTTTCTTCATATGAACAGTGTTAGTGTTAGTATTCAAATAGGTTTAATTTTGAATTTATAATACAGTTTTTATATAAAGTGTTAAAAACAAAATCATGTGGTGTACATTCTTTGCAGATCTTTAGACATTTGTCATCACTTTTATTTTGGTGTACACATTTTTCAGATTTTGTTAATAAAATATTTTATTAGTACTCTAAGGCTGGTAAGTTTTCAATTTTTTTTGATTTCTATTATGTTTAACCTTTGATAAATTATTTAAAAATGTTTTCTCCTTATACTAGTTTCTGAAACAAAAACACAATAGAATACCATATTTTTCCATTCCCTAAGATTTCATCAAGTTTGACATTCTGCATAAAATAATGATTCATATATACCCAATTCCTTTTTTAGTCATTTTTTATTTTGGAAAGATCAGATATTGTGCATACAAGCCCATTAATTTAACTGTATTACATTTTAGAACTCTTGGTATTCTAACAGTTAAATATGAGTATTTTCTTCATAAATGAATGCAGGGTTAATTGCCACATGTCTTGATGAAATATTTAAACTGAAATTCTGATCTGTTAAGACAGTAATAAAGTCAGAAAATGGTAAGCCACAAGAATAATTTAGGGCTTTGTTTTACCTACGTAAAGGAACATGTGATTTATCAGGAGAAAGTGGAGATACTTCCCAGGTTATAGGTAGGATTTCCTAAAGCCTTGAAGAAGTCTATGTTTGATGAACCAGTGATTGTGGGTAATGCATGAGGAAAGTGGACCTGTACCAAGCCTTCACCAACAGTTCAGTTTTTGGCAATCTGGGTTCTCCTAGGAAGAATGTTAAGTATATCAATTTCAGTGATTAAACTTCTTATTTTAAATTTAATATAATTTGAGTCACTTTAAATATTATGAAACTACCAGAGTGTTAAGATTTATCCTTTAGAAACTTAACAGAAAATCATTAGGAAATAATAAAACTGTGGTGATATTTCATACAGTTCTCTAGAAAGTAAGTTAATTCTTGGGGCTGGGAAGGTAGCTTAGTGGTAGAGTGCTTGCCTTGCATGCATGAGGCCCTGGGCTCGATTCCTCAGCACCATAAAAGCAGAAAAAGCCAGATGTGGCACTGTGGCCCAAGTGGTTGAGCGCTAACCTTCAGCTGAAGAGCTTAGAGACAGCGCCCAGGCCGAGAGTTCAGGTCCCATGACTGACCAAAAGAAAAAAAAAGCAAGTAACTTAATTCTTTTACCTAGGATGATTTAATTTTGAATGTGGAATCATCACAGTAGTAACAGTATTCAGAGTAACAGATAAACACTGAAAGAAAGAATCGCCCTCATTGATGAATTGCATTCTATGTCATGATCATGACTTACATTGATTCCAGAAAAATAAAGAATAGTCCACAAAAATCAATGCTTAGTATTCAAACAGTTTATTTGAGCAATAACTTGATACTTTTTCTACTTAGAGATCCTGTTTTTTTTCCCTTCCTAAACTCAAGACCTGTGCTTGCTAGAAAGATGCTCTACCCTTCAAGCTTGGCTCCCAGTCCTTTTTGCTTTTTTGGTTTCTTTTAAATAAGGAAGTTTTGGCTTAGGCCAGACTGGACTATGATATGATGGGTATGCTCCACCATACCCACTTTTTATTAGTTGAGTTTTTTGGGGGCTGACCTCAGACCACTGATTTCAGCCTCTAGAGTAGTTAGTATTATAGGTGTGAGCCCTCACATAGTGAATAAGTCCTCTTTAGGGTGTATGGGGATGGATTATTTGTTTATGGTGTCATTTCTAGGTCTTGAACTCAGGGCCTTATACTCTCACTTGGCTTTTTTGCTCAAGGATGGCTTTGTGCCACTTGAGCCACACCTCAACTTCCAGCTGTTTCTGGATAATTGAATGTAAGAGTCTCATGGTCTTTTCTGTCTGGGCTGGTTGTGAACCGTGATCCTCAGATCTCAGTCTCCTGAATAGCTAGAAGTTTTGATTTTTAGGGGGAAAAAAATGTTCCCCTTGGCTGGCTGTTTATGTTAGTGTTGTTTTACAGTAGGAAATGAATTAATCTTAAATTTATTTTACCCTCACAAAACTAATTTGGACTTTAATGTGCTATGTATAGCAGACAATAATTGAATTGGAATTTAGTCACAAGATTTAACAATATGGATCCACTGATAACCACTACTAGATTATTTTCATAGTCTTTCAAGTGAGTCACATCTTTAAAATCAGAAACCAGGGACTTTGGTATTCAGGTCAGCAGCTTGGTATTTTCACGATAAAAATTAAAAAAAAAAAGGTCAGCAGCTTAAACATTTGTTAAAAGAAGCTTAATTGAGCATGCATCTGTTACATGTTATTCTATAGGAAGTGGTATTTGGTGTCAGACTTCTGGAAGCTTACACAGTAAGCCCAACGTATTCATGGGTTAATGGAACATAGTTATAACAAAGTGTGGTAAAAAAAACAAACAAAAAAGTTTCTGGGCTGGGAAAGGTGGTTCAGTGGTAGAACGCTTGCCTTGCATGCATGAGGCCCTGGGTTCGATTCCTCAGCACCACATAAGCAAAAAGAAAAAAGCCGGAAGTGGCGCTGTGGTTCAAGTGGTAGAGCGCTAGCCTTGAGCTGAAGAGCTGAGGGACAGCGCCCAGGCCCAGAGTTCAGCCCACGACCGGACCCCCCAAAAAAAGTTTCTGTGCATGTGTTACACAACTAAGAAGCTTTTAGTACTGCCTCTCCTGAGTGTTTTCCTGCCTTTAGTTTTGGAAATATGCCTCCCATAAAAGTGAATGCTGCTTCCAAGCAAGGTAAAGGTTAATATGCTTAGGTGGTAAGAAAGATTGGAGATTTGTCGTAGAGACATATGTTTTTAGTGGAAGTTGGGCCATGGGGTGGTAAAACAATCATGGATCCACAGGATAGTACTGAACCTTATACATTCTGAATATTTGCAGGTGTTTTTTGTTGTTGTTGTTTTGGTTTTATTTTCTCAACTGCAGTCTCCTGGGGCCATATACTCATACACCCGTTGACCAAAGGTCTACTGTAATCAGGCTATTTTTGTAGTCATGCAAGCAACATTCAAAAAGTATCTGGATTTAAAAGAAAACTACATTATTTAAATTAAAACTACATCATTAAGCGAATATCTCTTGAGAAACTACATTACTGAGCAGTAGTAAATACTCAAGGTTCTCATTTTGAGAGTAAAGTTTAGGAAAACGTTTTCCAATTCTGGAGATTTCTTAGGAAGTTTAGAAGAACGGTGAAAGGTATGTGGAATGGCCTTTGAGTTATTAAGCCAGCCATACAGAGGAGGAGGGTGAAAAGTTGATGGACCTAAACTTGGTAGCATAAAACCAAGTTCTTGTCTCAATAGAGGTTCTTTTTCACAGAATGGATCAGCAACTCATTTTAATACTAGGATTATGAATGAATTGAGGGGTAAGCAGGAAATCCTGAAATGAAATATGGCAGCCATCCTGGGAGAACACTTAGTTGAATCTTAGAATTAGTTAATTGGCCTTGGCATCCTTGTTCAAATGGGTGTTTTCAGTTAATTTGTTTGCATTTCCCATTATGCCTTCAGTACATGCTATAGTTAAAACATTCAGTGAAGACTTCCATCTAGATTGTGTTAAAATTGCTAATGAGAATCTAAAACTAGGAAAAATGAGTTTCTGATATGCCTGAGTGTATATGAACATTACCTCCATGAGATGCACTCTAAATATTAGGTATAATTTTTAGTAATATTGTCTAATTGTCTACAAAATCTAAATTTTTTTATTAGAACTTTGGAAACCTGAAAGTTTTGAACTTTCATTATATGATGTTTTCATTATATGATGATTTTAGGAAGATTAGTGACATTTTCTAGAATCAGAGATCAGCGGGGTTGCCTTCATTTTATACTCAATTAAAACTGTTTTAAAATAGATTTTCTTTTATTCCATAATAAAAGAAATCAGGGATACTTAATAGAATCCCTGGAGTCCGACATTTCTGATTTTAATATGCTTGTAACATTTGTCCAACAACCACTGTGTTCTCTGAAAAGAACGATCATTTTCTCTGTATGGCATTACCATAGACTGCCTATCCCCAGGGTCTTCCAAAAGGTCTGTGTAAGCCTGACTGCAAGGGAACATGTACTGTTGTAGAACGTAAATTCTGGGGACTTATTGGTGAAAGCTTATTCTAATAGATGGTTCTTTAGAGTAAAAAAAGAAAACAATATATATCAACTAAATGCTAAGTGATAAAAATATTTCCAAATAATATTTCCTACCATGGAAAAGCTCCTTAAATTTTAACAGCAGGTTAAAGGTTTGGGGTTGACCTACTGAGAAGCAGTCTTTCATTGTAAAATGTGCTTTAGGCTTATTTTGAAAGTTCATGCATTTGAGCTCCCTGCCAAACACATAGATGTAACCATACTTTAAGAGCAATCTACATCTTAATTTTTGTCTTATATCTGTTAAATATCCACTTATGTCTTAATAGTTGGTCCAACTTTTTTTGTCTTGCTGGGTGACCGTTGTTGATAATCTAAATCCTAGGGGATTGTGAAGCCATTTTTCAACACTGACAACAAAAAGTTACTTCCTGAAAGGAGGGGAGGATGGATGAGTTGGATTCTAGAAGTTATCTTTATGAAGCCCAATAGTTGGCTTCTTGCTTTTACTACTGTTGCAAAGATCTCAAGTTAATCAACAAAACTAGGATGGATCAAACAAAAGTAGCTAATTTTGTTGTTGGAAAAATTAAATGAGATATTTATGAAATTTTTGGGAATTAATGAAAATATAAAGAATAATTATGTTTGTGGTGTAGTTTAAGTTATTAGCCTATGGGCCCAACTGCAAACAATTTTATAACCTTGTCCTTGCAGATGAAGATGGAATCAATACCTCATGAATGCTAGACCAACACTATTCCACTTAACTACGTCCCTAGCCCACTTGAGGGTAAATTTCTATGTTTATATTAGTTTATATCTGAGGAAGTATAACCTTAGATAGGCTGTATAAATCCATATACTGTTCATATTTGGTTGAAACTAATTTAAAGATTATAATGTATGTTTCTACTTAAATTAATAAGGCCCAAGGTTTAAAAAGAAATATTTTCAAAGCACTAACCTTGCTTCCTAGCATCCATAACTCCATTCCTGAAAGGTTAAGCTGAAAAAAAAAG